CACATCCAGTTGTCTTTGGCCGTCCGGAGGGCCGCCTGCGTCGCCCTTCTTGCGGCCAGGTAGGCGTCTCTGGAGTCCTTGGACTTTGAGTCTCGCCAGGTAGCAAAAAGGGTGTCCCTGATTTATATTTGATATTTTTTGACTTTCTGAAAAGGTCTCAGTGAAACTTATGAAGACCCTACGTTTTCACATTTTTCAATAAATTCCAAGTCGTATATTTATTGGTACCTGACGATATATGTCGATTTTTATGATCGGACTTAGAATTAAAAATTAAAAATATGAGGTACTTGGTACTTATAAATATTTTTTTTGACTTTCTGAAAAGGTCTCAGTGACACTTATGAAGACCGTACGTTTTCACATTTTTTTCAATGAATTCCAAGTCGTATATTTATTGGTACCTGACGATATATGTCGATTTTTATGATCGGACTTAAAATTAAAAATTCAAAATATGAGGTACTTGGTAGTTATAAATATTTTTTTTGACTTTCTGAAAAGGTCTCAGTGACACTTATGAAGACCCTACGTTTTCACATTTTTTTCAATGAATTCCAAGTCGTATATTTATTGGTACCTGACGATATATGTCGATTTTTATGATCGGACTTAGAATTAAAAATTAAAAATATGAGGTACTTGGTACTTATAAATATTTTTTTTGACTTTCTGAAAAGGTCTCAGTGACACTTATGAAGACCCTACGTTTTCACATTTTTTTCAATGAATTCCAAGTCGTATATTTATTGGTACCTGACGATATATGTCGATTTTTATGATCGGACTTGGACAACACCTCCTCCTTGTTTGTTGTCTGGAATCGCTGGAGGAGGATTCTGATTGACAACAGGATTTGGCGTTCCACTCCCTGCGGAGTTATATTGAGAACCTTGAGATTCGTCTCCTTCCATATTTGAAGATCAATCAAAAACCTGAATTTAATCAGATCCCGGCCGAGCCCCCAATTCTGTAACGCGCGACCGTGTCTCACCTAAACACAAGTGCCTAGGGTATTGCTAAGGCTGCTAGCTAGACTAACAAAGAGACAGACGACCGCTCGCACAGGTGGTTTTTGATTATCTTAATAAAATGCTAATTCCAAATTAACAGAGTCCTCGGGCTTTGCTTTTCCTAACGGATGGTAATTGGGTGCGACAATTACCTAGAAAGAAGCTAATTGAAGATCGGTTTGTGTCTAGGGGATTTTTATGATTCTCTAACCACTTCTTTCTATTAAGAATTCCAAGCAACAAAGCAGCCCTTAATCAAATCTAGCAAAATCAATCCTTGATTTATTCGGTCCTTCTTTATCAGTCAAAGGCTCCGATGACAATATTGACAGTGCCACGGTTCCCTAAAGCAGAACTCAAATAAAAGGAATTGATATTTGGTAATCCTCTTTTATCAGTCAAAGGCGCCGATGACAATCTTGACAATGCCACGGTTCCCTAAAAAATAATACACCAAAGTACGACTCTTTTCCAACTCAGAGACAGTATTAATTCTAATTCTCTTATTCACACAAACTTTGCTATTTACACCTGTAGCGACTCTGCCGATGACGCAACATACGAACTCAGAATAACAACGCAACTCATTCAGTCAACCAGCGGCTCCCCGCCTAGCCCACTCGGCTACGACGCCCACCTTCGCGGCGAATACAACAACACAGCGGATCGAGCCTATGTGGCCACATACTTTTCGATCCAAATCTTACATTGGTGCCCAGAACCCGTGCACTGCAGTCCGAGACACGCCTCCTGCAGGAACCGGCGACCGTTCATCTAACAATCAACACGACATCTACCGGCAACACCGCATCAACTCCTCGGCCTCTGTCAACCACGGCGCAGCAGGTTTGGGGGTGCCTCCGCCACGACACGCTCACCCACGCAAGAAGTTGCCGACGACGCCCTCTGCGCTCCGCTTCTTGGGGGGGACTTGATGTAGCGACTCTGCCGATGACGCAACATACGAACTCAGAATAACAACGCAACTCATTCAGTCAACCAGCGGCTCCCCGCCTAGCCCACTCGGCTACGACGCCCACCTTCGCGGCGAATACAACAACACAGCGGATCGAGCCTATGTGGCCACATACTTTTCGATCCAAATCTTACACACCTCTATACTGTGTATATAATATTCTGATCAATTATTCCAATTATTGCCTACCCAGGCTGACGGGATTTTATCTTAAACAATATCTGTCAAATGAAACACCTGCCGCTATCAATCATGAAGGTGCTCAATCGAGACTTGAGCCACCGATTCACCGACTTCAAGCGTGTTATGTTGGTGACTACTGTATATATTGTACTGTTGGTAACACTGTAATAAAGGTTAGAATTATCTTGGAACCCGAACCGACCGGACGTGTTATTCCGTTCTCCGCACTCTACAAGCGGCCAGAGGCCGCCAGGGCCGGCAAGTGGCCGCCCTTGTAACACCTCAAAAACAGGCCACCTCCAGACGTAACAAATGGCGACGAGGAAAAACTAATTTCGGTGAAGGAGGAAGAGGTGAGTGGAGCGAGAAAAGTGCGAGAACGGCGACCACGTGCAGCGTGTGGTGATTCCCCAAAATTGGCTTGGGTTGGTGTCCGGAGGCGGACCTGTCCGGCACCAAAAGAGACCTCGAAGGAGCCAACGAAGAGTTTCCGGCGGGAGGAAAGTCGGGCAAGAAGAAATTCTCCGCGTGAGGCTGCGAAAAGCCGGGCGTTACATCAGCCAAAAACGAGGTGAGCGTCAGCAGACATTTTCAAGTCGAGGCGGCCAGCCGGCCAAGTGTGAAAGTCGGTTCGGCCAGAGATAACGATCAAGAGACCCGCGGCCCAGAGTGTTTTTGCGAGCAAAGTCGCAGCGGCAAGAGAAGGGTGAGCAGAGTCACCTGCCGCAGAGTACGAAGCGTGACAGCCGTTCCTCGGACAAGGGAAGAGGACGGTGTGTGTCGGGGCGTCAGGGAAGGGCGTCGCCGAAAAGGGTCAGAGTGCGACCCAGTGAAGAGCTCTCCCAGGGTGGGAAGCTCACCGTGTTCGTCACCTTCAAGAAAAAGGGCCAGAAGGGAAAGGAGGAAGGAGGACTTGGGCTCGTCATCGTGAGTTTGAGTGGAGAGAGACCACGAGCCAAGTCTTGTCTTTAAGTGCAGAGTCTGCTGAGCGCAAAGAAAGCAAGAAAGAGGAAAGAGAAGGGCGAGATTGAGTCCAGGGAAAACCAGCGGCCACCAGACAGAGGACGTGTGGCGCTGTCGTTCAGACGAGAGAGACGCCAGGAGGAGGCAGCCTCCTTCTCTGGCCAACGTGTGAGTGACTCGGAGGGTGCAACCGCATCCTCGAGCCTTCGACCTGAGTTGAGGGGATCTCCTCAGGGGTCGTTTAAGAAGTGCCAGGCGAACAAGAGCCTGAGGTGAAAATTCCTGAGACGAGGAGGAGAGAAAAGAAGAAAATCAGCAACTGGAATTTCAGGCCGTATCCAGATTGCGTGAACATTTTTCGGTGAAATTAAGTTCAGTGAATATTTGAAATTGAGAATGATTTTTAAGAGTTCTGAGTTGAGAAAGTTTAGAGCAAATTTGAAAATTCAAAAGTTGAAAGTAAATTCAAAGTTTCTAGTAAATTTCAAAAGTGCAAAATTTGTAGTTCCAATTCAAGAGTGAATTTAAAGTAGTTCTCAAATTGCATTTTTGAAACCAAATTCTTGTGCATTAATTCTCACAAATTGGAATTATTGATTGATGGATTGATGGCATGACATCTTCTTAATTGTCTTAAAATAAAATAATTGAGTTTTTATCTTAGGCGGGAGATGTTATGTTGGTGACTACTGTATATATTGTACTGTTGGTAACACTGTAATAAAGGTTAGAATTATCTTGGAACCCGAACCGACCGGACGTGTTATTCCGTTCTCCGCACTCTACAAGCGGCCAGAGGCCGCCAGGGCCGGCAAGTGGCCGCCCTTGTAACACCTCAAAAACAGGCCACCTCCAGACGTAACAAAGCGCCTATCAAAAGTATGCAATTTCCGCTCAATAGCTTGAGCCAATTACACCTTAACTATTGAGATATTCTACCTGATTGCAGATTAAGTTCAATATCCCACTTAATAAACTTAAGTAGATAAATTTCACTCAATCAACACCTAACAGCAAGGCTGGTAAAAAGTCCTTCACGAATGAAGTCTCTTATCCACCAATTTAATCTGATCTATGAATTTAATCTATAGCCAAAATAACACTCAATACGACTTGAATCTCTCTCGGCTCCTCTGACAACAATTGCTAATTTACGCTTAATAAACTTAAGCCAATCAAGCAATTGATCTAAGCTGACGAAATGCTGTTTACGTTCAATGAACTTGAACCAACAAGCAGTGATCCGGAATGGAATGCTTAGCTCCTTGGCCAGAGAGGTCCCACTCTCGATCTGCTCTGCCTGAGCTCCAAGCACCGAACACCGAATGAATCTAGCCGGCTGAGCTGGCCTTTTTATACCAGCAGATCGGCTGGTCAGAATCTTCTAGAGGGAGAGTGATGCGCGCGCCACTTTGTTCTCCCTCACTCACTCTCTCCCTACGGAATGTGATCACGGTGCTGCCTGGTGGCGATTTTGCTGAACTTCAAAAACCGGTGTTAATTTTCAAACCGGTATGCTATTTTCAACCGGTTATTTTGCCTCGAAATCTTTTGATCAAATCAGATTTATTTACACTTTTGCTGTAAAACAAGCCATAATGGCTACAAAGTTGCAAATTAAATTTAATTTTGTTAAAAGCAAGAAACTCATCAAGAAAATAATAATGTACAATTTCCTGCTTGAATTTCAAAAATCCGTCAATAACTTTTCAAGTATTTGAATTAAATTGATTTCCAATTTTTATTTCCATTCTCATTTGCATATTTGTTCAAATCTCAGAAGGGAGGTGTTGTGAGCCCTCTAGCGGCAGACAAATAATTTATTAATAAATTACTTGAGTCTTGATTTTCCTGCAAGAACACGAGTTGTTTCACTTTGGAAGTCCAAGAGATTTAGTGAAAAAGTCAGGGTAAAACCCTCAAGGGCCATACAGTTAAAGGGCCATGGCCGCTCTCGCGGCCGCTGACGGCTGACGGCGTTGGACGTTGGACTATAAGCGCGATGCTTTCTTCTCTTGTTTTTGCGGTAAGGCCGGTAAGGTTCAACTTTCAGCTTTGTTATGTTGGTGACAAATGTATATATTGTACCGTTGGTAACACTGTAATAAATCCAGAATTATCTTGGAACCCGAGTCCCGAACCGACCGGACGTGTTATTCCGTTCTCCGCACTCTACGAGCGGCCAGTGGCCGCCAGGGCCGGCAAGTGGCCGCCCTTGTAACACCTCAAAAACAGGCCACCTCCAGACGTAACAAGCTTCTTGCGAGCAACTAATTTGCTGCGTATAGCTTGGACACTCGTTAGGGCGGCTGGACAGAGCTCGGACAGTATGCTGGTGAGATTATTTCGATTATGATTAATTTTTAAATTTATTATTACATTATTTCCGGTGTTTTTAACACATATTTTCGCCTTTTTTCCCACCGATTATCGGTGCTTTTAACCCACTTCTTTTTAATTATTTTTTGATTGTTCGATTCTCTCAGATTTTCTGATTGTTTAACAACAACAATCACTAAGGTTCAAATTCTTAAATAGTCAGGCGTTCATTCTTTTATCTGACACATTCTAACGGTCAAATCAAAATTCTTTCACCATCACCATTTACAAAAATTTTCCCAGTTTTCAATCTCAAGGCCTAACCATGATGACTGCTGACGATGTCGTCGCCGACGAGCAAGCCCATATGGAGTCGTGCCTCGCTTTTCCTAGGCTTCTGGAGAACTTCCCGGGCCAGTTCGAAAACATGTTCGTTTCGGACGATTTCGACAGCGTCACAAAATTCGTGAATTCACTCTCTATCAAAGAGATGTTTGTCCTGCTCTTCTGCCACTTCGGAGAGAGTTCAAAGTGCCGCTTCACGGAATGTAAGAATAATTTTTATTTTTTTATTAAAAATTTTGTTCTTAGATTGTATTGATTTATTTTTTGTGTACCTAATATGAAATATGAATGTAATTTTTTTTTACAGCAATCTACCAGCTCCGAAAGAGTTACCTTGAGGCCTTTGAAAACTGCTCGCGAATGGCTTACGTCGACTTCCAGCACACCATATCCCCAAATTTAAATGGCTTTACTGCTAAAACCATCAATACCATCAAAGCAGGCATGTTTGAAACCTTAGAGGGCCACACCCTCTCGACCCTGCTGGTGGTTAGTGGCCAGAGGATTGATTTGAGAAGAGATTATGGTAAAATTACTTTTATTTTTTTTCTTGCATAATTGAGCACATATTATTTATTTACAGGCAAGGGCGAGTTGATCCGCATATGTTGTTTGTCTTTCTACAAATCATCCTCTCTGACTGATCTGCCATCTTCGAACAGCGATTTCAAAAACATGAAACTGGAGGAGTCGATCCCTGTCATCAAGAACGAATTTCAAGGAATACTCAAATCCCTCAGCCAATCCATTGACGATAAATTCAACTTTATTGAACAAAGCGTGCTCCAAAAGGCCAAGGACGACAGTACAGCTGCTCTGCTCAGGGTGAAAGAAGCCCAGCATAGCAGGAGGCCGAAAAGAAAGGTACGAGAGGAAGCCGAGCTCAAAAAGTACTTTGATTCGAACCGGAATGATTCACCTGGCTACAACCGGAAAAGGCGAAGACTTTAAAGTCTCGGATTTCGAAAGTAACATAATGAAATGATATGGAGTTTGAAATGTGTTGCGTGGCATAGTCCTTGTAGTTGACCAGGGTAAAAAGGCAGAGAAATTGAAAATTCGGATTATTGCTATTTATTGTCCAAGTAATCCTGATAACTTGTGCATGGACCAATTTTAGTAATATGGAAAATACTATAGAGCAGTTCCTAGACCCTGAGGGTGAACTAATTATATAAGGCGATTAGAATGTTAACTTGGACCCAAAATGTTCGAACCTGGAAGTAATTAAATTTTTGGATCTAATGGGTGACTACGAGTTATCCCTGAATTTTCAATTTCAAATATTCTTTATTTTGTTAAGCATTAATATGCAGTAGCAATAATACTTTTTAAAATAAGTCAAGATACACAGCATTATTTAAACGATAAAATTCGTTTAAGTTATAGAATTGGTGTTGAAGTACAAAAGTTTTCACTTCCTTCACTAGTTCCTCGTCATTTTCGAGGGTTTTCATGTTTTTTGGCAGCGCATGATTTTTGGGATCATATAATCAGGGTTTTCTACAGACATTTTGAGAGCAATATTATTCATGTTCATGATGACGAGGGGTTAATTGTCCTAATTAAGCTGATTTTTATATTGAAATAATGCTTTTTCTTAAATTAATTAAATATGCTATTTTATTAACTCAAATATTAACTACAAAATCCACTTCTTTGGACTCTATATAAGAAATGTAAAGATGTCAATATTGGTTGATCAGTTATTATTTTAATTCTATAATTTATTATAAATAAAATATTAAGCTATTTGAGTAAATGTATAATGTTTTGTTTATTATTTGCTTGTTAATAAAAATTGATAATCATAATGACCTGTTGTAAAGGCAAATTGGAGATGTACTATATATGTCTAATGCAATAAATCTTGATCTAATCTAATCTAATTGCTGATGATTAATTATTTTGGCACTTTAGTCAGGCTTAAACTTAACGTTTTATTCTATTCGCTTCTTAAATCAAATTCATTATTATTTTATTTTTTTTTTTAACAAATCAATCAAAATCAATAAAGATAAATATATTTGCCTTTATTTAATGCTTTCAGAAAAATTTGTTTTTGATAATTTCAACTTAGACAATAATCTTATTTTTATTTCGTCTTCCGATACATTATTCTTTTCAATTCAGCGGTTGCAAAAGAGTCAAAAGAAATTTGAAGTACATTTTATTTCAGCAAATATTGTAGGTTATGTCTATGTCAAAAATTTGTCATGCTGCTGGCTGAGGATTTTCCCCGAGGATTTAGCGTCCAAGAAGAGACCGTTGACTTCAGCGACATCGTCTTTGGTAATGGCAGAGTGGCCGCCAACTTTTGCCACCAGAGCAGCAGGCGTCAACAGTTGAACTGCGTACCTGAGGGTGGCCCTGGTGCCAATTTCTGAAAGAGCTTTCAGAGCGTCCTCGTCCAGCGCCAGGTTCTCTGTGTTGGCGCGCAAGGCAATGATCTGTTCCATCTCTGGTCTCGAGTACGGAAGGGTCCTGATAACCAGCAATCGGTCAAGCAAATCCAATGGAATGCCATGAGGAGCAAAGATGTCTTCAGTACCTCTGCGGACAAATTATAAATAAATGATTATGAAAAATATTTGATATTTACATTAAACCAAGATTTACATATATTGTTGACAAAAATCAAATAAACAAAATTACCTAACAAGACAGCGTCCCCTATTAGTAGCAAAAACAACGATGGGAGCAATGACGCTTTCTAAAGCTCTGTGGAGGTAAGTGAAACACTCGATGTCTAGCATGTGCACTTCGTCGATGAAAAGAACACCAGGAATCAACTCGGCTATGCCTTGCTCAATATATTTATTAACCACCGTATTGATTTCAATCCTCAATTTATCTGAAAATGGCAAAATACAGTAATTCATTTATAAATAAATTCAAATTATTGATTAACCTGTGATCTCCAGTTTCTTGGGCTTCATTAGCTGACCCATGAGGGACAAAATGTCCTGACCACCCTGTGGCCTTGCGTTGGCTGTGTCGAGGTCGTGGAGGGTGACGTCGTTGACAACTTCTCTCTTTTTGTGCACGTCTCCCTTAGGAAGAGGCACATATTCTTCTGCCTCTAAGTCAAATTCAGTTGCATAGGAGTCGGACCTTCCTTGTCTTTTAACAGATCCTGAGTTGGCTTCTATGTAAATAACGTCTCCAACCTAAAATAAAATAAATGTAGCACACTTAAAGATATTATTATTCAGTTTTGTAATATACCTCAACTTTCTCCTTCTGCAGTCCTTCATAGATTGAAGGGTCAAGTTTCAATTGCTTGGATCCCTTGACAGTTTTTAAACCAATTATGACATGGCTTATGCTCTTTCCATAACCTGAAGAAGTATAATATATAATTAATTTGATAATGTGTTTTGATAAAAAATTTCACACCAGCAGAAGGAGCATCCGTTTCAACAGGAGTGAGTTCTGTGACTTCTCCCTCGTAAACTTCTTTAGTTTCCTTAATTCGCAGGCCAATGGCTCGTCTGAAATTTTCCATTAGCACTTCCGTCTTTTTCACCTCGGAGCTGTATACCTCGCTGCCAACCATTGGACAGAACGGAACCTGCAGGTATAGAAAAATTTATACATGAGAAATTGTAAATTTAATTTGTTATAAATTATAATTATTGTATGTTGAATGTACTTTAGATCCCAACTCGGCTGCCATGGCGACGGCGATGGCAGTCTTGCCAGTGCCTGGAGGTCCTGCAAGCAGGACGGCGCGTCCGGCCAGTTTCTTGAATCTGATCATTTCGACGACGATGCCGGCCGCCTCTCGGGCAGCCTCCTGTCCGACAAAGCCGCTGCCCGTTCGCAGGGCGCCGCCCGACTCATCCAGTCCGAGGGCTTTGACATGAGAATGGGCTGAAATTCTCTGCACCTTTGCAGTACTCTTGACTTCTTCAATCTTCATTTCGGCAGAAAAATAAGCGTGAAATTTGCAACAACACGCGTGCCACTATCAGTTTGTTTGTTGTTAGGCGTCCGTGTGTTGCGTTCGCGTTGTTTTAAAGTTTTTAGACGTTTGAGTTTGATTATGGACATTAGAAGCTGGATTGGTCGAGACGCCATTTTTTCATTTCAAGACCCCAGGCCGCCCGGGGTCTTGAAACCGAAAAATGGCGTCTCGACCAATCCAGCTTCTAATGTCCATAAGTTTGATCGATATTCACGTCAGCTGAGTCAGCTCCCTTGAATTGACGAAGACCTCCTTGAATTTTGAATCGACCGCGAACCGGTATTGATTCGAATGGTACCGGTAAAAAGCAGCCAATCACAATGCATGGTCAGACATTCCATTATTTCCATTAGCCAACCACCGACCACCGACGCACCGGCGTCATACCAACCAAGGAATACCAACGCTGTTGCCAACGCTGGTTTCCATTCCATTTTCCATTCCGGTGCCGCACCGCAAAAAAGAACTTGTTGGTTTGGTTCCTTGGTTTGGTTGGTAACTTTGGTTCTTGTTCAATTCCATCCAATCATCCATATATATATTATTCCATATCCATATTCCATCTTCCATTCGTTACCGTTTTCCGTTTACGTACTTGTACTATAACTATTCGTACTTCACGCTTCACGAGTTCACGTAGTTGTAGTTCTTCACGTCAGCTGCAACGATGTATGGAGGGAAACGAGCAAGGCCTAAATCTCACGAAAATTCCCAGGAATTGGATGAAAATGCGTGCCCAAACGCCACGTAAGTATTCCAATCATTCCAATGGATGAGCTGAATTTTTATGGATGTTGAATTATTCCTCTGGAAGGCAAGAACTTAGTTTTCAAATCGTGACCTTCGCCAACTGTAAGATGGCTGTTTTCGAGCGGCAAAATCTTGGCATTTATTTTTACGTCTCCTTCGCTTGGGAAAGAGAAGAAATTTTATTTTCTATCGCCATATTAAAGAAAACAAACCTTATTACTGGATTTATGCCGCTCTGTAAATTTTAGATTCGTTTTAAAAAAATTTCAGACCTATAAATCGAAGCGCGCCAACTCACAGCTTCCATTCTTAACGTTCACTCGTCTGACTCGATGCCACGCGAATTTTAATTTGTACTTTTACTTTTATTTCAAATTTAAAACAAATCTGAATCAGAAATTAATACATACATATGCTTTGTAACTTAACTGTGCTAAGTTAAAAAATTAATTTTTAAAAATTTCTCTTCCAGGAAGAAAAGGAGGACAGATAAGGACTTTGATGTGATAGGAGATAAAAGACTTGAATTGGATGATCTTACAAGCAACTTTTCTGAAGATGATGAAAGCACCTACACAGACAGTGATGACTCAATTCCTCTTCACAGGAGCGATCATTCCCCTAAAAAGAAAAGGCCCAGTTCGCCTCCATCCAACCACAATGATAATAATGCTAAAATGCTCTCCACACCGGACAACAAATATGTCCTCAACGATTGCATTCAAAAGAATTGTAACTTTTCAATTGCATTATGTCAATATCTACAATTATTTTTTTCAAGGCCACTTCAACAAACTCTCCGATGAAATGATGCTGTCAATTTTCTTGTGGCTGCCCAAGGTGCAGTTAAGCCGGGTGGCTTTGGTTTGCAAGCGTTGGAGGTGCATTGCCTATGATGACACTCTTTGGGGCCGTCTGGACCTTAACAACAAAAGTCTGCACCCAAGAAACTTAGAACATGTGCTTAAAAGAGGAGTCCTTGTCCTTAGACTGACTGGCGCCATCGTAAGCTTCTTGAAAAGTGAAATTTCGAAACCTAGTTTTTCACATTTTTTTAATCACTTCTAGATTCCAAGTCCTGTGATCAAACCCAACAGCTCTTACCTTCCACTCAATTTTGTGAGCAAAATCCAGTATTTGGACCTAACTATGGCTCAGATTTCTGATGAAGGTAAATTTTAAGAATGATGGTGCGAAAAAAACGTTATATTTTTTACTTTTAGGCCTTGCTGAATTATTGAAAACTTGTCGTCATTTACGCAAACTCAGTCTGGAAAACTGTCCCCTCAACCAAGCTGTCTGTGAGCAAATTGGCCATAATGTGGAATTGGAAGTACTTAACTTGACCAGTGCCACGGGCCTAAAATCAAATGGGTTGGAGGCGATTCTTGCCTGCTGCACCAAACTCTATGCACTTAACGTGGCCTGGACAGCCATGGATCAAGAGACTCTCAACACTCTTTCAGTAACTCTATCCCAGTCCATCAAGTATCTGAACGTTGCTGGCTGTAGAAAAAATCTTTCTGATGATCGTATGTTTACGAAGGACGCTTTATGAATTGAATTTAATACCCTGTGAATTTTCAGATGTCAAGAAAGTGATTGAGAAGTGCCCTAATTTGGAAGAACTTGACTTAAGTGATTGCACGAACTTGACCTCTGTCACTCTGGAATGCATAATTGCTAAACTTGATAAACTGGAACACCTTTCTCTGAGCCGCTGCTACAACATGGCTAACTCAAACTTCAAATCGTTGGAGAAAATGGAGTCTTTGGATTACCTCGAGTTGTTCGGGGTATTGCATGACTCTGTGCTCAATGCTCTAACAAATGATATGGAGACGATTAGCATAAATCATTTTCCCTTCTCCTCTATTGCTCGTCCCACAACTGGCTACCGCAGAACAAGTCTTTGGGGCTTACGAGTTCGTGACTGATAAACCAAAACTTTGCTTCCACTGCCTGTGACACCAAATAGAGGTAAATTGTTAAAAAAAAAATGTGGATTTGAGCAATGTACCTCATATCAAAAAGCATATCCTGTTCTTTTGGTGCCAGAATATTATATTCGCAGATTGATTGTTATGTTCGACTGAATCGTGTCAAAATATTTCACAAATGAAACACGAAAGATTTACTTTGGTCCACTTGTTCTACTTTTTAGGATGCTGAAGGATCAAACTTGGTTCTCAAAATTGGCTTTCAGTTGGTTAAATATTGAGCAGAGAAAAAAATTGAGTGGCTCTTAAGAAGTAAAATATATAAGAATAATAAAGCTACGCTACTTGTATACCATTAAAAAAGCAAAAAAAGGTTAGTAAAAATAATTAATGCTCAATAGAATTCAGCACTGATTCCAGGCTGATTTTCATAAATGTGTTCCTTTGTTAGTTGCCAAAAGAGCATCATTCTGCTAAAAGAAACACGCTTATATTGTAATTGTTATGTGGTATATAATGCTTAACAAAATAAAGAAATCTTGTGGGGGTTTAGTTTTTAATGCACTGTACAAACTGCTCCTGAAAAACCAATTTTTACATAATCCTCAACCATAAATCACCTTCCTTTATCTAAAAAGAATTTGGTTAAGGCAATATAGACTTTTCAATTCTTTCATATTGTTTCATATGGATTTACAGTAAAAAACTTATGGACACTAGATTATTTCAGAAATCAGAAAAAGTTGATAATTAAACAATAAAAATTACATGGAAACTTTGTCATCGAAACCCCCAAATATTAACGCTTTGAGGAGGATAAATTTGATTCTACTTTAAGTCCAGTGCCAGAAACATGTCTACTTCCAGAAACTTGGAATATGGCTAGTAACTATTTTTTGAAAACCTATTATCGAAAATGAATATTGTACATATTTTTGTGATTACTTAATTGAGTTACGATTTATTTGAGTGGCCAAACCGGCAACAAAATTTTGCGATACTGCTGTTATGGGAGTTAAAGAATAAAACCACCTTGGGAAGTGAACCGCCAACTTTGAAATTTGTATTTTCTGCCCAGTTTTAGCTTCTAAATTGACATGCTATTTTCTTGTGGAGGCCACAATATGCAAATCCGACTTTGACTTCGCTATATTTATGTCCTTTCAAATGTTCCCACAACGACCACATCATGTCAGAAGGCGCGTGCAGAGCGCAGTGGTGCACACTCAGTTCTCGTAAATCCGCACCTACAAGCTCCTCCCACCCGGACCCTGCTCGTCGAGGAGCAACACAAAAATTGACGTTTGGTGATCGTAGAAGTAGCGGCCGATCAATTAGCTGGAAAAGGGGATGCAGCAAGAATGAAGGGTGGAACAGGTGGACATTGTTGCCATGTCGACCACACGTAAGTTCACCGTCATGTCGAACCCCGGTTAATCTCCTTAATTAACGCGATTGTCAAAGTAAACAAATCAAAAACTCGAACTAGTCATGCCCGCAAATGAACGTGTGCCGCAAATTTTGACGGAAATATAGGTTGTGCCGCGTGTTTAAAAATATTATGTCCACTGGCATGAAGGGTGAACGAAAATCAAATTGTGTGAAACGGGCCGAAATGGTTGAGAAATCTTGAAATTGGCGCTCGTACTAGACTGCGCCAAAACAGCAATTTCCAATATCGGTACCGCTAGTCTAGTGCGGAATTTCCCCGTTGCGCAAGGGATGAATTTTCCAATATTGCTTGTCGACATATATACAAGTAGATTAAGTTTCGTCGCGTGTCGCCCGGTAAAGAGCGAAAAAACGAGAGCACCGATTTTTCAGCACAAGTTACAAGTTCTCCGAACTGATAAAGCCTTTAGGCCGTTACCTGAACGGAAAAGTGTGGAATAGCCAAACGCGAAAGGATAACACGGAGCGCTGGGGGTGCATAGCGCGAACTGCTTTCTTTGAGCTCTGGTGGGGGTGCAACGCGCATGCCTCTCATTATGTATCAAGTGGTTACTAAGTCTGATTGATCGAAAAAGCAACAATGCCGCCAACAAGTCTTTTATTTTAATGAGAGAGCTGGTTTTTTATGTGGAGTGAGTTGTTCTGTACTAATTAGGGAGCGCAGCAGAACCAATGAGCAGTCTGCCTTTCCGCCCCGAGTGATTTGAAAACTTTTCTCCGGTTTCAAATTAATGAAAACTGCACATCAAAAGCGCGGTTTCCTCCAAGTGGAATTCACGTCATTTTAAAACATCGAGAACTTGTTTGATCAGAATCATTTTTGTGGCTGATATTCACGAATATATTGAAAATTGAGACGCAGAGTTGGTGATTAAGTAAGGCGCATTATGAATTAGCCCGGGAGTTGTTTGGAATATTAAATTAAAGCCGTGGCGTTTGCGTGAGTCGGACTTTTTTGCCAACATGAAAGTTTATAAAACGTTAAAGCATTTTTTAATCAAACGGCTGCAAAGCAAATAAACTTTTGATGGAAAAAAATTGACCGAGAAGAATAAATAATAATAATAGTAAGCAAACTAAATTACCTTAAAATTCAAAAAGATCGTTAATGCATTGGTATTTCCAAAATTTTATTTTTTGTTAATTGTTAGGAATGGAAAATGCAATAATATTTTTTTCTTATTGAACTTCTCACATAAATTTTCAATTTCAATAAAAAATCGGGACCAAATAATAATGACTAAATAATCTATAACACTGTTCAACTATGTTGTTGAACGACAACGCAGACACTCATTTGCAGATACAGGTCACCGCACCCCGCAAATGACCCAATCTTTTGACAGGTTTTCTCAGGACTGGATTCTGCAGACAGTGAGGTCACTGCAACTTGAAGTTGCTGTCTTGAAGGCTGCCGTCTTGGCCGCGCAAACTAAAAATAATGATACGACCTTGAGTTTGCCGAGCTGGGAAAATCTCGACAGCAGGAGGCAGCCAACTGGACAACAAATTACTGGATGGACAAAGTGGACAGTCCATGAGAGAGATGCCCTGAAAAATTACCAGAGAGTGTTGATGGGAGATCGTAAGTGGTGGGCGGCTTCAGCTAAATGCAAGTTTGAATTTCGAAATGAAAATATTGTTAACGCTTCGGAGGAAATTATTTGTCACCTGGTGGGCGGAGATATGAATAACTCAAAGGGAGCAGCCTTAGCCCTTGCTGAAAAATTTGGACATCCAGGTGCTGGTAAACTTCAAATTGGTGAAATTCGTATTCAGCAGGTACCTGAGCATGAGATTTGGCACCTCGTCTCTAAGCCCTGGGCAAAGCAACAAAAATTCTCCAACCCTGGTGCCTTCTACCTGAATCACTTGGCAGCCCTTGTAGCCATGAAGGATAAAATGAAGGAAAGAGGAGTGGCAAGGATTGCTATTACACCGCTAGGAAACAACTGCAACAAAATAAGCTGGGAATACACTGAAACTAAATTGACAGAGATTTTTGCAGACATGCAGGTAACCTTTGTGGTTTATTGCTCACGACCTAAGTTTTCAGGTGTTGGCGGAGTTGCAGCTGAGGGCGCACAGTCGAAAGCAGCCCATAGAAGAATTGAGAGCAGGACTGAGTGCCTTCCAGTTGCAACGGGCTTGGCCAGAGGGGGTTGCCCACAGCAGCCCCCAACTACGTACCACCCCCCTGGCAAGCCAACACCGAAAAGGTACGAGCACAATGCAAAAGTCAGAACTCAAAACTCATTCTCAACCTTGGTACAAAATGATGTTCATCACGAGCACGAGACAGAACGAGTTTACGCTGAGGAGTACCTGAAGAGTCTGAAGGATGACCATGTGAATGAAAAGGGCAAACAAAAGCGTTCCCCCAGCGACCGCCTGATGAGAGATCTGGAGAGGCGTCGCGAGAAACTTGGCCAATTAGACGAGGAATATCAAGGTGGCATCAATGGGCTTGGCAGTGCCATAAAAGCTGCCCATGATACTGTCGCCCCACCGGATGGCTCTGCAAGGGCGACTGAGAGGGTCTGTGCGGCGGCAGGGACACCAGCCTCGTTTCTAACCCTTGCACCCATCCCAGCGGAAGCGAAAAAAGGTGATATTTTTGCAATTAATTCACCTGACATGTTGGATGCTGCTGATGAGGCCCTTATTTCTCAGAGCAAAAAAGGAGGAAGTGTGAAGGCCTTTATCAAGAAATTGACTGACCTGACCCAGGAGGCTAATGACATTTCTATGAGAACTGAGGAGAAGGAGAGAATTGTGGCAGAAGGACGGACGAAGGACAAGCAAGTTAGCTTGTCAAAGAGTTTGTCTGGTGGGGGTGGCAAGTCCCAACCACCCTCGCCCAATGCGGAGCACTCTCAGGAGCCCCCTCAGACAAACCTCTTGCCAGAGGTAAATTCTGAAGTCCTCTGTGAGGCAAACTCCTCAAACTTTATTTTGCACGCCCCCGCCGAGTTTGTTACGTCAACCCTTGTTGAGGCGCAAAGCGAGATGATCGTGAGCCAGAAGGATGATCCAGATGGAGAGACCAGGAAGGATGAGCACCATAAGGGATGCATTGCCGGTGGGGGTAGCCCATACCAGCTGCCCCCACCTGATCTCAGGAGTGACCATAAACCCCCTCGGCAAGCTCCCTCCCCAGGGGTAGGTTTTGATGAAAAATTAACACCTGAAAGCTCAAACCTGCTCTCGCCTGAGATTCCTGATGTGCTGACCATTCAACAACAAGTGACTGTTCAACAACAAATGATTGACGAGGTGAGGGAGATGAGACGCAGCCTGGATAAGTTTATGGCGCAGAAGGACCCGCAGTCAAACCCGTCAAAGTCGTCACCAGCTGGAGTCACTAGGAGGCGACAAAAAAACCAACTCAGCCAAGGAAGGGAAAAGTGGCGCTAGAGAAAAAAGAGCAGAAGAAGAATGAAAAGAAGAAAAAAGAAGGACTTTCACCTCAGAGGCAATTTAGTGTTATGTTGTTAAACGTTAGAGGTATTAGAACCGCGTTAAAATTTACACTTGTTGAAAACTATGTCCAAAGCCTTAAAGTTAAGCCGCAATTTATTGCAATAACAGAACATTGGTTAAATGTACATGAGATAGGAACACTGAGGATTAGTGGGTATTTACAGTTAGCTTCCTTTGCGCGAGCAACCCAAGAGCGTGGTGGAGTTGTGTTATTTGTTGCTAGTGAATTGCAATATGAGTCTGTTAAAAAGATAACCTTTGCAAATATAGAACTAAAATTTGAGGCTGCTGGTGTTGAGATTCGAATGGCAGGAGAAGTTTTGAAAATAATACTCTTGTATAGACCTAGCAATCCACAGAGCAACTTAGAAATTAGTAAGTTCTTTGAAAGACTAGAAGATGTTTTGGAAGAAAACGTTTCACTTGGGGGCCATATGCTATTAATGGGAGATTTCAATGTAGATTTAATGAAAATTGATAGAAATTCAAATAAGTTGAGAGAACTCACAGGAGGCTATAACTTGAAGCAAGTGAATAATCAAGTTACAAGGATAGATGGCGAATCCGCCACCTTGCTAGATGTCATGTTCTCTACACTAGATTGTGAAGGTCAGAGCAAAGTTCTGAAATGCCCCTTTTCGGACCATGATGCAGTGTTTTGTTTATGGGATTTAAATTTAATACAAAAACAGGATACGTTTAAATTCAGCAGGCATTTTTCAGAAGAAAATTGGAGTAAATTTTATGAATTGCTTAGTAATGAAACATGGGAAGATGTGCTCTTCATTGAGGGTGGTGTTAACCTTAAATGTAGTATCTTTATGGAAAGACTTTCTTCATATTTTGAAAATTGTTTCCCGATGAGGAAAGTTATTAATAGAGCTAACCAGACTGGCAAAATCAAATTATCTCAACCTACTAGGGAGCTTAAAACGCAATTAAGAGAACTTGGTGAGCGGATGAAAAGGGAAACCAATGTAAAAGTAAAAGACAAGCTTCGAATAGAATTTAAGAGCCTAAAACGACGGGTTGGAACTTGCATTAACAAAGAAATTAGGAATCATAACAATGAGAGAATTTTGAAAGCGAGTAATAAATCTGGTATGATGTGGAGAATAGTTAAGGAAA